CGCTCAATCCCTAAAGAAACCAGAGACAAATCAACTATCAGATAGACTGAAAAGGGCCTAACTTACAACTTTAGAAGGCAAGGAATTGAAGAATCCGTTGCTGACCTCGCATGCTTCTGCAGTTTCGAACAATTGTTTACACAGGTGTAGTGGTGTCTGGGCATCTTGTACCTCAGGCATGTTCAGTTTCTCTTTCAAGATAGCAAAGTTAGGAAGCATGCTTTCACAATCCTACAATTTACAAAGTTCATTACGAATGGCTTGGAACTTTCCCACATACTCGAGGGAGAATGTTAATATGTTAAAACTTTAATTACAGTATCAGAACAGAACAAGGTTAGCCAGACAAATGCACCTCTAGATGTGATAAGATTCGTGTTCGTATAAGTTCATGCAAGCAGGATCTTAGGATTTCATAACGCGCTTGCAAAGTTGGGGGACCAACATATGCTTTGATATCAGCTCGATCAACAAACGCAATATCTGCAACCCAAGAAATGGTAAACCCATACATACTAGAATGGTGAAAGTTAATTTTTTCCCTTCAACAGAGAAAATAAAGTATTTCTCTTTCTCTAGCTTGTCAGAACCACAGAGACCTCGTGACTGACAAGAGAGACTGATAGAAAGAGAACCAAAAAGAGACTAAAATCTTTAATATAAGGGAAAAGTACATTAACACTTGGCAAACTACAGTTTACCTCTCGAATGTACAGATGAAAAACTGCAAGCAAACCTAGAGAAGTTCATTTTACGTGTTAGGAAATTAATTTGTAGCCTTACCAATAGCAGCAGTTATGTTCGACGTTGTCAGAATTATAACATTTGGTGCTGATTTCAATTTATCCAGCTGAGTTAGCAGCGCATTCACTACCTGGCATGTCAATGTTTAGGTGTTAATTGAACTCAAACTGAGCTATCCTGAACTGTATCAAAAATGTTACATGTAAATCATCTGCACTGTGTTCAATCAAAAAGCTTAGAAAGTAGTCTGGAATGGGATAAAGGAGAAAGTACGGTACCCGAATAGAATCTGAAGGTTCGGAGCCAGATAAAGCAGCTTTTCTAGCAGCAGCAAGGCTTTCAACTTCATCTGCAACATCACCGTATATTCATGAATTATAATCCAAATGGAAGATATATGATCATAAAATGAAAGCTCACAGTGAAAATAAATCTCACCAATCAAAACAAATACCAGATTGTTTTCCTCCTCAACCATCTCCTGAATTTTTGAGAAAAGCTTCGCAACCTACGATTGAGAAATACTTTTAATGAAAACAGAGAACTGCATGTACCAAATCCAACTCCTGTTAACAAAGAGCAAAAGCATCTTTTAGGACTTGCAGTATCAACTACATACCAACTTGCCACTCTCAGAGAACCATTTACTGAATAAAGAATGTGCATTAACTTCAATCAGTTGGCATTGCGGGTACCTGCAAAGAATAAAATACTGAGTCTGGGAATCTACACGGACGCACATCCATTTTAGTGATGCATATTCATCTGAACAAGACAATGCATCAACAAACCTGGAGTTAAATCGAATAGAAAGTTTTTGAGCCAGTGCTTTGCATAAAGAAGTTTTACCAGTCCCTGGAGGTCCATGTAAAAGAACAATGCTGCAAAGAGATAAAAACAATCATATAGGTGCCAAAAAGCAATTCCTCAGCAATAAGGGAAATAACAAGCATATATGTGTATAACTGTACATAGATGAAATCAACAAACAATTCCTTACCGATTCCATGACACAAGGAAAGGATTGACACCCTTTTCAGTAAAAAGCAATGCACTAGCTGCATAACGCAGCAACCTTTGCTTGAGACCAGATTCATAAATTAGGCTGCAAAAGTAGATGAGCACTGAGCACGTTACATTATCAGTTGATTTCAAACTACGAAGGAGAAGAAAATTAGAGAAGTTGCAAACCAACCTTTCCCACATGCCATCGAATTCCTTTGCAGGAAGGATCCATTCGTTGAAGGTGGAAGGTTGTCCATCCCCACTTCTATCCTCACATGCTCCCTCTTCGCTAAGCTAATGAGCACATACAAGCAGGAGATCAACACTTGAATAGATATCGAGTCCCAAAGTAGTCCAGATGGTACACCTATTACCTGGAAAACATGCACAACAGGCTTCACTTGCCAGAACAAAAGGATCTCATGGTTCTGCACCCACTCATCTACAAAAACAAACAGTTCAAGCATCAGAACCCGCAAATATCTTAAGACTTCATCCTCCTCCTCCTTTTTGTAGTACGTAAAGTATCACAAACTTTGTGCAGTCAGATTTCTGTTTTATCAGATGAAAAGTTGCAGTATTGATTATAGCTGACCATCAGTTTCAAAATTTCTTCACTTTGCCTTCAAAAAAATAACCCGTGACTAGTTCAAAGATAAAAAAAGAATACCCGTATCGCAAATACAGATACTTTGCACATTTTCTGTTAGAAACCGATCATCAAGTGGCACCGGCACGGGTCCATCAGAATAGCTCAAACTCCTCTTTTCAAGCATTCTAAGCATTTGACAAAAGAAGAAGAAGAAGAACAGAAAACAAAAGCACATTATGTTAATCCTCAGCGCTGATTACCGAACTTTGCCAAACCGTTAAGCTAAGCAGGCATTTCATCAAACACATAAGACCCAATTGAGAAACAACTGAAAAATCAAAATCGATGATTCTAATTAACGAATTTAACAGCACACCTCTCAACGGCAGACTGCACGTCGTTGGCCGGAGCTGTGCTGGAGGGCTTGAGGCTGACTTCAACTGAAACCCACAATCAATTTCTCTTAAAGAAAGTAAATTTACAACTAAATCATCAACACAGCCTCAAATTAGAACAAATTGGCTCAAAAACTAAGAGCAACAACTAATTGAAGGCAAAAACGACGCCGTACACACCTGAAACGAGGACTTTGTCTTGGGGAAGAATGGGAGAAGGAGCTGAGTCTACTGTGACGCCGCCGTTTTGGTCGGGGATGCCGGCGTCTTCTTGGGGGTTTTGCATAGAGACCTCCATGGGACTGGGAGCGCTCATTTTTTGGGGGTTTAGTGTTTAGGGGGCTATGAAGTGGAAAGCATCAGATAGCTGAGAGCAGCTTGGAGAATGGAGGAGATGAGCGAAACCCTAGACCCCAACAGAAATCTGGGAAATTGTTCTTCGAAATGAGCGGGAAAATTTGAAGGATTATACTTCTGTGTACATCGATAATGCTATTATACATTTTGGACCGACTACATTTTACACCTATATATGTGATTTTGAAACAAGCCATGAAGTTTTAATTTTCTCACATTGCTCTTTACCGTTTTGAAATTATAGCAATTTACACATTTTTGTCTCATGAATTATTTGAATTTCACTAAATTGATGATATAGTGAGCATAAAATTCGTAACAGGATTGATATATAAGCCGCATTTACATCACATTCGTCACCAAAAAACTCATCACTGCAATTAGAAATTCAAATCTATCAAAGGTGAAAATTGATACAATTTTAGGACCTTAGAAGAGAATGTGAGAAAATTGAAATCTCATGGTTTGTTTTAAATCACTTCAAACTTTGAGGATGCAAAATGTAGTTAGCCTATATATTTTTTCTTAGCTCAACAAATGTGATTGCTTGTTCCTTTTGGTACCGTTTGGTATGTGGGATGAGACGGAACAAAGTGGGACAAGGCGTTCCGTCCCATGTTTGGTGCGCCTAAAACGGGTGGAATGAGTTGTTCCACGGGACGAGTTTTGGGTGAATTTTCGTTCCACCTCACCCCCCTATAACGACTCGTTCCACATACGTGGAACACAAAATTATAACCTCTCCATCTCCTTCTTCTTCCTCCTTGTTTCCATCCGAGGGCATCTTTGCTCCCGCTTCGTTCCGTTCCGTCCTGTCCTGTCCCGTCCCGTCCCATTTCGTTCCGTCCCGTCCCGTCTGCATACTAAACGATACCTTAGGAATAAGTTATATGTTTTTAAAAAAAAAAAATTGGTAAACGTGCGGAAAATCTACAATAGCTTGCAACTCAAAATAAAATGAGTTGAGATTTGAAGAACATATTGTACATCTTCATCACATTTCTCTACTCCATAGATATACCAATGCACTTAAATCACGAGATATTGTAGCCACACTCGTTGATATGAATGACATAATTCGACAATTAACTTTAATTTGCTACATTTTATCGCCCAAAGAATACATTTGTGCTAAAAGAATCAAATGTCCTCACTTCTATAATAATTTATGTAAAAAATAAATAAATTTAAATGTGTGTAAAGAAAATTGAGATTTTACCATAAAACCAATTGACAATATAAAAAGTAGCTCAATTACTTATAAGCATATGCAATGTTTTTTTTTCTTTTCCGGGATGTGAAATTAATATTCTCAACAATGTGTCACATGCCCTCAATTTTAGAGTACTTTCGTCAAGTAATGTCTCTCTTGATGTCTATAACAAAAATAAGACTTTTAAGTAAGGGTGCAACTTAGGTAGATTGACACAGATTGACCAGTCACCGCAATCCTAACTTTGCCTTCACAATTTTGGGATTGGGTTTTAGTCAGGTTAGGCTCACTTGGGTTGGGCTAGAGTTGCATAACTTTACTCAGCTCAATCGTGTAACATCTTGTTTACAAGATTTTTTTGAAAGTTTGAGCTGAATAACGTGAATGCTAGTTAAAATTTGAACTTCGAAATTATGCCAAAAGTTTGATTCAGGCTGTTCTCCTAAAAAGTACTTACTCATTCTATAACACCAGCAATGAGGCTAGCCCAGCCCATTTTTGATGCCCATTTCCCGATCTGTAAGCGTTCACCTCACAAGCATGTGAAAGACAAAATTCTTACGCCCACAAAAAGGATATGGTTGCCTAAACTTATCTCCGTTTGACACAGTACCAATTTGTGAGGCTCTAAGTTACTCAAAGATTACATGCATGGCCCATACAAGACTTTGTTAGAGCAAAAAACTAACTCACCATGAAGCAAAAGCTACAGCTTGAAGATGACAGAGAACTTGAAATCCTCAAGGCTGTGGCACAAGCTTGGTACAGCCACTCCGGCAGCTCCCGGCCCATGTCCAAATTTGACGCCTGCCCGAGAAATTACAATGGCAAATCGCCATCCCGATTCAAGCTTGAAGCAATGAGAAAATCATCATCAGCTGGTGATACAAAATGGGATTTCGGGCAGTCACTATGGGATGCTTATGAGATTGTGGCCGTTTCGAAAAGGTTAGAGACAGGGCTAGTCCTTGATGAGTTGGAGAGTGTGACACAAGTCCGTCGGAGGCGTAGGGAGAGCAAGCACAGCCTTAGAAGTTTATTCAATAAAATATATCTTTAAGAGCATTTGATGAGGCTAATGTTCCCCCAGATGACGATCCATAATTCGTGGCCTTGTTTATTTTTTGCAGCATTATTGCTCTTGTTAACATAATTTTTTCTCTGAATATCTAGGATTTTGACACTAGGAGTACATTAAAAAAAAGGAGAAAAGTCTGAATTATATGTGCGTTATTTATTTTTTGTGTGAAGAAATTGTTATCTTTCAATCTTCATTTGCTTTGTTGGAGATCAAAGTCTTTGTGTTAAGCTAAAGTAGTACTGCGCATCGTAACTTTTGGCAAGCGAATGGTGTATCGCGGTATGTTACCAACAATTGGTTTCGATTGATTTCTGCAATGATGTATAAAAGTTCTATGTTGGAGAACCAAACTAAGTTCTGCAGATGGCATAAGACATGAGGTAGAGCAGGATTTTACTAGATGTTTTCGCCCATCTCACGGAAAAAACACCAAGGATTAGCATTTAGCATCAGTTCTTTTACTGTCGATTCTCAAACCATCACAAAGTCTTACACACTTGCTGCGGGAGTAAATATCACACATACCGCTGCTGCTGAAGTCTTGTTTCAATAATTGAAGATTAATAACTGAGACAAAAAGGAAAAAGAAAAACTAATAACACGAGAATAACAATAAGTAATAATAACTTGTTTATTTAGGAAGTGAAATACATTAAACATGACGATGGCATCTTATTAAGAGCCTAATTAAGGAAGTTCATCAGAACGGAGAATTGCAAGCACTTTCATGGGTTGCTTATAGTTTGCTCGCCAATCATCCTTGTCAAGAACTCTCCGGCGCCTTAGCGTGGTTTGAAGGTCCTCCACTTGAAGAGCTCAAACCCCTTGTGCTTCTGCTGGATGTAGCCATCGGCCTTAACATCAACAGTTTCCTCAGACACCACACAGTTCCCGTCTTTGTCGCACTGCGTGACTCTCTCGGTCACTTCAACCGTCTCGTGAACTTCCGGCTTGTACTGCGGGTTCTGCTGACGCTGTTCGTAGTACTGACCGCCATAGCTCTCTCTCCCAGGGGCCTGGTTGCTGAATAGGGTTTGGCCATGAGGGACATCAGTGAGGACACTAGGGGTTCTTGCCATCCTATGCACATGGGAGTAATAGTCGTTCCCATTTTGGTGCTTGGTTGGGCACTCGTAGCTTCGCCTCATTTTTTTTCTGTTTTTTTTTTTTTTGGCAGTCACAAATTCACAAGTACCTTGAACTTGAAGCATTAGGAGGATGCAAAAGCTTCAATTTATAGGCAAATTGCTATGGCCTTTATTCTAAAATGATAAGGGTGGCATCTAGTTCTGCTGACATGGTTCTAAAAATCTCCGCGTAGCACCGCTTAGGCCCTGCTTAGGCGCTAGACGGCTGGCCATCAGCCCGATTAATGCCTAGACATTTGAAAATTAAGAAAGGACGCCTAGACCTGTTGAGGTAACCGCTTAGACCGCCTAGAGACCTGCCTAGCCCGTCCAGACCCATCTAGGCATGTCACGCCCTGAGCCCGAAAATATTAATTTCGGGAAATGATATTGGTGACGGCCCAAAAACGTTGCTTTATTTCGCAGAATTTTAAATCACGATTCTTTATTTAAATTCCTTAACTCCCTCTCAATAAACATAAACATAAACATAATTAATTTATAAGGTTAATTCTCATTTTATTTACCAAATTCCTTTTCTTTGTACCAATTCTCAACAAAGGATTTAATTTGATTATTTAAGGCTGCATCTAACACAGTTAGACTGCCTACGTACCCTGAAACGGGATCAAGCCTTTCGTAATTCACCTTTCCAAAAATTCAAACCAAATCCAAATATATTCATTTAATCCCACATATACCACAATCGTATTAATATTCAAACCATAGCAGTTAGGTCTCAAAAGCATAATTAGAATAACAAAGTTCGCATAAAAACACAATGTCGGCTCCCTGGCCGTGCGCCGCCACACCCGCCGCCGCGGCTCGCTGGAAAATTCAACTATTTCTAAAAATTCTCAAAAATTACAGAAATGAAGATCTCAAAGAGTAGAGCAAACTTTATACCTACGGCCAAGTCCAATTTGGCCTGAAAATGCTCCAATTTACCTCGAACCCGCGGGAAACCCTATAATTTAGGTGACCTCGATCCATGTCCTCCGTTGTTCCACCACCCCATCCAAGGCTTGGGACATGTTCTTGGGTTCACAAGGAGTCCATTGATAGTGGTGGTGGTCAGATTTGGCTTTAGAAAACGGCGGATTGCCGCCAAGGAGCTCCGGCGCACCCCGCACCCACCATGCTAATTACACGATTTCCATACCCTTTTATCTTGAGTTTTTGGAGTGGATTGGGTAAAAGGGAGGTCGTGAAATGATTTCCCAAGGTTTGATCGACGTGATTCGCCGGGAAACCAATGAAAACCACCGGAGAAGATGAGGAAAATGGGTCGGGTCACTGGGTTCGTGTGATCCAGTGTTCCCCCATCTCTATCCCTTTCCTCCTGGTTCTCTCCTCCCATTGGTCACAACCCCCCCCCCCCCAAAAAAAAAAAAAAATCCTTTCTTCCTTTTCTCATTTCTATTCTTTCCTTTCAATCACAATCGTCCATCACTCATTTTTTCTTTCATCACAGCCACACATGTGGCACAGCTCATTGCTCCAGATTTTCTGGAGCCTTCTAAAATGGAGTAAAATTACCAAAATATTCCTGACTTTAAACGTTAATAACTTCTTCGTTATAAATCCGTTTCACGAACGATTTTCGCCTACGTGCTCGTAGGATCATCCTCTATCCAAATATGTCAAGAGATATGCCAAAATATATGAAGATAAAATACATTACCATATAATTACCATATAATTACGTTAAGCCAACTAGTCGCATTTAACTTCTCACAACCATAAATCGATTTATTTTCGATTTTCTCCACATATTCATATCTTTAAATTTTCAGGGTATTACATTCACCTCTTGTTAAAATAAATCTTGTCCCCAAGATTTCAACCACCAAGTTATGAAAAGAAATTAAAACTAATTCCACTATTTCTTTTATGGTGAATATAATTATAATCTCAATCTACAATTTTATTCAAGCTCTAGAAATAATTAAACCAACGAATAGTAATCGTGATTCTCACTCACACTCTCAAATTCTCAGCCACATTCATTGGCAAAATAAGTATAAAAAATTCTAACAATGCCCAATGGCAAAATAAATATCCACATTAAGCCAAAATTTCTCATGGCCTCCATTGGCTATACACAGCCGTTACCACAATTCTTCTTCTAATTTTTTTTTTTACCACCATTATTAACGATACCAACAAAAAAAATACTCAATATTGGCAGCATACATATTATAAATTTCCAGCCATAACTATTTTCAGTCAATTTAATATCAAAATTCGAAGTCATCCATTAGTAACCTAGTAGAATCTCAAAATTTCAAGCCAAAGCTTTAATTGACAAACCGAATATCAAAAATTTCAACCAAATTCATTGGAAATTTCCAATCACACTTACTTGTTAATGGAAAGAAGATTAAAGCCAAATTCCAAACACCACTAACATAAATTCTCATTCTATGATTCCTTTCATTTTCGCAATTAACTAAATTGCCCATGGTAAAAATTTAAAGCCTTTTAAATCTTTCTTTAAATCGCTTTTCTTTTTAATTTACTTCAAAGTGCAGCCACAATTATAATAAACTAGCCTCTCCGCATGCGCTCACGCGCATGCGAGAGGCATTTTTGCATCACGGGCGCTACGCGCCCCAAAGATATGTTGTTTTAGATATTCTTATATCCTAATCAGCGTTAAAGAGCATATCTTTCAGCATACAACTACATTGACGGGTGTTACACATCTCTAAAGATCTTTTTATATTATGTCAAGTCCACATCTATCATTTGGTATACGAAACTATTCAGCATTATACAAAAAGTTCAAAATTCTATCAGCCATTTACTTAAAAATTAAAACTCTATAAAAGATGCTAATTACACCATGTAGCAACTATAAATTGACTACTCCCTTTGATGACATGCTTCAGCGTGCACCAAGGTTCTAGGCAGTTGCATCTTTTATATGCATGCCTCTTTTTCTCCATAGGCGAGTGAAGAAAAGCTTTCATCATCATATCTGTAATAGAAAAGAAACATGACATTCAAATAGTGTAGTAAAGGAATACATACAGTTACAAATATAATACAAAATGCAGAAAAAATATACCAAAACATAGTTTCATATAACAAATGACGAATGTGGGGTCAATATAATATAAAAGGATCTTTAAAAATGTGTAATACCCGTAATAAGAGGCTAAAAAGCTACAACATGACATGTAGCTTTGGCATAACGTAAAAGATCGTTTGGAAAAAATATCAATTGACAGCAACGAAGAAAGCTAATGTATTTCTCTTTTATTCTTTATTTGTCTGTCTTCTCTCTCTCTCTTGCCTTTACGTTGGCTTCTTCAACCGTGTCATCCAATCTCAGTTCTCTGTTGACAAATTTCATTGGGGCATAATAGTTAGACAAATTAAACAATGACAGTGATTTTATAAAAAAAATTCAGAAAACTGGAGGCAAAGGGATGAAACAAATTTACTTAGAAGAAATGAAAACTAATTTTCCTCTTCTTTCTGTCTTGTTTTACATTCTAATAAGCAATAGATGCAGCAGGGCAAAATTAAACACAATAAAGTTCACTGAGGCATAATATATCATTGCTAGAAAAGGAACCATTCGCTTTTAGGTTTACCGTTTTTCCGTTAGTGTAACAGAAGCACTGAATTGGGAAGATCTAGAAACAAAATGCACACCCCAAATGTTAAAATCCGGAAATAACTTACATTTACTTCGTCAATGATGACCAAACAAAAACCCTGAACTTTGAATTGCAATAGAACTTAAAATGACTTTGAATTGCAATCGAACTCCATTAAAGATTCAACTAATTTAGCATCTTTAACTTTCCAAGTAATTGACTAAGCTCAAGTTGATGCAAAGATGAAAATATGTTGTAAATACACTTGCCCAAGATAATTAATTGTAAATGACACTATCCTAAGTTCCAAATTATATTCAAAATTTCAGTTGATTTAATGTTACTTTGTTTGACATATAGGC